ATAATTCTTCAAAGCATAAAAATTTGCTCCTTAATAATTAGTAGATGTGAAAAACATTACCATTGAAATCTACCTGATGACTTTATACCCATGCTCAGATGCCAAGGAGCTCAGAAAGTAACCGACTGTGACTAGTAATAATCAGATATATAGAGATTAGGAAGGCATGTGCAAACACCTTAATATCAATTGCATTGAAAATGAATTTTTCTGTATGAAACTATGTATTTTAATAACGAAATGGAGATCTTTTTTAAAGTTTAAACCTCATTCAATTTTATGTCTTATGGGGTTTATATGGAGTACAATACTGTATAACTGTATTAATTCAACTGTAAACCTAAAAATTTACAGCCAATTTTGAAAGAGATGCATCTTAGCTCTGGAAATTGTTGTTGAATATGTCAAAGCTGTTGTAATGAAATGCTTCTTCTAATTATATGGGTATTAAATAAATAATTTTTTTAAAAAGACTCTCTTCCCATAAATTACTACATAAGCATAATCTCCAAATTATTGAGAGTAAAACAACTACAATTCCAAATAAAAACATTTAGGATTTTAGAACATCTGTTTAGTATAAACGCTTATATCTTATAAAATATTCCAAAATAATTTAACATTTCATATGAAAATATATGACACATAAAGTCAGCTCATCTAAAGCTTAGATGAGCCTAAAATTCATGCACATTACAAGGAGCATTCTCAACACTGTAATTTTTATTTATCCCCCAACAGATTTCATCTATCAGGCCCACTGAAGATGTAGCTCAAACTACTACAGGGGTTATTTGGCCCCCTAAAATATACTAATACTTGTAAACTTTTGTTTTAAAATGGGGTCTCATACTAACTCGAGCTGTCATGAAATTATGTAGTCAAGGCTGGCCTTGAAGTCAAGGAATCCAATACTCCACTCTCTCTCCCCCGCCACCCTCAAAGTCTAGGAGGTACAAAGATTTTCAACAGGGTATTTTTTTTTCAAACTCAGGAATAGTGCACTAAAATAGCTTTACTTTGCTAGGATTTGACTGAATTCTTTATATATTGCTGCTCCATGTAGACCAAAATGGAAAACACAGTTTGCATGGAAAAAGAAATAAACTACTGTCTTAGAATTATTTGACAAATGACTTCACATGATTAACTACTTCATAGCTTGCTTATTAAATAAGGAATCAAAGGCCAAAAATTGATTTCAACATAAAGGCAATTAGTCTTAAACTACAATTAATTGAATAGGGAACATTTAATTAGAAATAAAAAGGAGAAAGAAGCAGTTGATATACTTGATTACTACAGTAGAGCAGCAAATATTAGAAGTACCAAAACGCTTGCTAAAATCAATCCAATTGCCATGCTTTAATATATTCTTGGGCTACTGCTCATGTTTTAACAGACCCACCAAAGTTCTTGTGGAAGATCGACTACATGTTTTCCTTTATCATTCATTTCTGGAATTTAGTAAAGTAATCTTTTGTCCCCTTTTCTTCCTCAATTAGTGGCTTTGATTTTTAAAAATTATATAAAATTTGCTTAGTCAATTGAATTAACGAAATATCAGCTAAATAGTTATTAGCCTATTATTTAAAAATATGCTTTCTCAGCCTGTTGCACTTTATAAGTGCTCATCATTACGTGGCCACCAAATTCCAATACTTATATATTTAGACATGCAACTAATATATTTTACAATAAACAAGCTATAGGGTAAAAGATTGAGATCTATTTAAGAAACATCAATTGGTGAGAGGTGGTTTTACTTACATTTGTAGTAGCTATAGCATTTTTATCATAATATTTCTTCTTTTCATACTTATCTCTGATGAAAAATTCTACTGCTCTGAAAACAGGTCACTTAAGGAAAAACTTGAGTTCAATCACATGTATATTTCCCTTTATTCATTCTTCTCCAAAAGGCCTACACTCTAAATTTTCTATCCCTAATCTGTAATTTCTAGACTATTTCTGCAAATGTTCTGTAATCTATTTTTCTTTCTCCCCAAAGAAGTACATTTCTTTTAGTAAACTTTCTCATTCAGCAAAAAATAACCAGCCCACTTTAAGAAAGAAAAACTTAGTTTAATTCTTAATCAATTCTCCATCATTAACTCTTATCAAACTAAATTTAACTCAGGTTTATTTTGATTTTTATAACTAAAGTCACAACCATGCAGTTCTTAACAATGTGCCAGGCACTATGTGTTACTAAGCTGTACATTGTTTTAATTCTTCTCAAAATCCAGTAACATACATATAGTTATTTTCACATCATAGATGAAAAATTAGCAACTAAGAACAATTAAGTAGCTGATTCCAACATGAATTTTTTTCTACTTGACCATGCTATATCATAAATATAAGGGTAAATCTCAGGACTTTCTATATAGGGCCATATACATATAGTAAATATTTTAGGCTCTACCCAAGCAATTAGTTGGTCTATTCTTTAATTACTCAACTCAACTTCTAAAAGCTTCCAAACGGCCCTAAAAAACTGTAACTAAGCAAACACAGCTGGGCTCTAATAAAACTTTATTTAAAGAAATAGCTGGCTCACAGGTCTATAGTTATTTTGAATTCTACTCTAATGCTAGAAGACAAATAGAAAAAATGCTTGCCACCAAGCCTGACAACCTGAGTTCAATCCCAGGAACACATATGATGGGAGGAAAGAACTAACTCCTGCAGGTTGTCTTCTGACCACCACATGCACACCATGGCACAATTAATTAATTTTTAAAAACACACTTAAAAAAAGGTACTCTATCTACAAATTGTCATTATAGTCAACTCCACATTCTCAAAAGAAATTCTAGCTATAATTCTGGTAGTGTTAATGCCTAATTTCCAAAGATGGTTTCCATTATACAGCTTCATCTATGGTACCAGTGGGCACTTACTATTCAAATCTCTCTAATAGAGCCTCCAAATCACAGTGTTTTTAGATTAAAAGAAGAAATGGTGGAAATATTAATCATTTTGAGATGGGGTCTTCACACCTATCTAGAAGTCTTAGGCTCAAGCAGTCCTCTTGCTTCAATTTCCTGAGTAGCTGTAACTTCAGTATCTGATTTGTTTTTAAAGGCTATAGTTGGGCTAGAGAGATGGTGCAGTCATTTAAGGCTAAGGCTTGTAACAACCATGATCTAAGGGTTGTCATCTTACATTCTGAACATCAGTAATCATCTATCTCAACTATGCTTAGAAACATTCCTCTTTAAATACTTTTCAATAACTATTAGGCTATCTTTTTGTAAACAATAAAAGATTAATCAATATCTCATATAAATATGATCCAAATTAATAAATGCTTTGGAAAAGTAGTATTTAGTTTGGAAAACTGAGGAAGTATATTTGGTGATAACAACCTAGGATACTCATATATCAGCTTGGCTACAATTCTTCAATGCTCTGCTCTTAAGGGTTCTTGCCAGAGGCTTGCATTTTCAGAGAAGAAAAGAAGACTCCAAAGATTCTTA